TTTTGGTATAGGAATACTAGCAGCCATTCTAGGTGGAAATAGTCTATCCTGAGACTAGTGTTGAACAAGGGTGCTGATTAAGATTTTAAAGTTTTTGGTGAAGAGTGTTTGCCTGATACGAAGCATTATGCCTCACATGAAAAACCATCAAGCTTAAAATTTTCCTTGAGTGCAAATAAATAAAAGAACTAGCTTTGCATCAGAAGTGCTTCCACATTACATTGAACCTCTGAGTGGGGGATAATAAGTGAATACAAGACATTCTTCACTGGCTGCAATTTAATAAAGAAACACTACCACAAACAGTTAGAGCAGGCCTCTCTACTGTTGTTCACAGGGATAGTTTTAAACACCCAGGAAATTGGTCTCTCCATTTTCAGTGAGGGAGTCTGTCACATTTGGCTTCCCTTTAGGTTATGCCCCTTGACTTGGGGAGGGGCAGCATTTGATGCTCCGCCTCAGGCCTCAAAATGTATTGGGCTGGCCACGCCAAGGGTTGAGAGTCTTTTGCCCCTCATGTTCAAACACTCCACTCCTAAATTCACTTTATTTTTGGAGAAAACACTGTTGATCTCGCCTTGGTGCAGTGGATTAAGCTACATTGCCTCCAAAGCACTTTCCTGCCATTAATGTCTGCTTCTCTGTGTCCCCCCTCCCCCACCATATCAACAAGGATATTCTTCAGCCTGCCATGGACTCTCAAGTGAAGCTAAATTGCACTCTGGAGATAAACAACAGCAAAGTGGAAATACTTATTCTGGTGTCATTTATTGCTTGTTGGGGATCCAGAGAGTTGAAAAATGATTTCTTTTCATAAGCAGGCCCCTTCCTTAATAACATAAAACATAAAGAGGATGTAAAGTGTTCCAATTAAGATTTCTCACATTCAACTCTCCCCCCCCCAGCTATACCAGTGAAATTCCATATTAGATGATTGAGTCTAGAAAAATCATGATGTGAGGTTATCTAAGCTGCTTTTCAGTGAAAACTACTTAGGTTCATTAGTCAGTTTTATTATTGAGTCTGTCAAAGACATCCTTGCTGGTGACACAGTGATTCCAGTGGAAGACATCTGAAGGCAGCCCTGTTTAGGGAAGTTTTCAATGTCTGATGTTTTATTGTATTTTTAATATTTTGTTGGAAGCCACCCAGAGTGGCTGGGGAAACCCAGCCAGATGGGCAGGGTATAATTAATTAATTATTATTATTATTAAAAATGTGAGGGAGAATTTTGAAGATTTGCCGAGAAAGGGTTACATAGGCCTAGGCACACACCACCGTTTGTTATCCTAGCACATAAGGTGCAACATGTTGCTGACAACACCTTGAAACTACTGTAGATTCCAGGCAAGTACCTCAGCTTCTAAAGAATATTCTCACGCAGGGATACATAACAGAAGAAGATCTGGTACAGCACTGGCAGCTATGGTGGGAAACCAACCAGCTACCAACAGAGACTTGACTGAGCTTCAGATTTCCTTGGCACAGGGTAGGAATCTTGGTTAGTCATAATGCTTGCCACAAATATGAGCTGTAAATTTGAGACAAGCATCTCTCTCTCTCTCTCTCTCTCTCTCTCTCTCTCTCACACACACACACACACACACACACACAGTGCTTCTTCTTCAGTTTGGATTTTAATTAGAGGTTCCACCCTCCCTCCCTCCTCCCTCCCTCTGCCTACCCACCCAAGAACCTTCAACCAGCTTCTGTCTCTGTCTAACCCATCCAGCCACTCAACTTGCTGAAGCTCTGATACCAGCTGAAGAAGGGAGGGAAGGATGGATGGATAGATGGAGATTTGGTGCCTGGAGGTGGTGGCTGCTTTGCTATGGGTCCCCCCCCCCCAATGCTCCTGACATCCTGACAGATGTCTGTCTGTTTGAGATCTGAGATGCATGGGGTTGGACCGCCTCAGCGATAGGGTCTGATGGAACTCAGATGGGCAAAGGTAGAACAAGAATGCATATTCCCTGGTCAACAAGTGCAAAAGTAAATGCTTTTGTAAATTCAGAAGTCATGGTAGCCTATAAATTTTTAATACATGTCCATTTCCACGCACTGAGCATACTTTAAAACAATTGCTTTATAAAATAAATATTAACCAACTGATGCGTATTATTCCATGTGTATAGAGTTTATACAAGCAAATGGAAGATATTTGTCTAGTGTAAGCGGTATATGATATTTCACCTTAGGGTGCATGAACCATTGGTCTAAATGTAGCGCAGCATGTTTTGTATACAAACCAAATCATATACAGTGGTACCTTGGGTTAAGTACTTAATTCGTTCCAGAGGTCCGTTCTTAACCTGAAACTGTTCTTAACCTGAAGCACCACTTTAGTGAATGGGGTCTCCTGCTGCTGCTGCCCCGCTGGAGCACAATTTCTGTTCTCCTCCTGAAGCAAAGTTCTTAACCCGAGGTACCACTGCATTTAAATGCATCAGTGGGTTAATGTGTACAGTGGTACCTCGGGTTACAGACGCTTCAGATTACAGACTCTGCTAACCCAGAAATAGTACCTCGGGTTAAGAACTTTGCTTCAGGATGATAACAGAAACCGTGCTTCGGCGACGCGGGGGCAGCAGGAGGTCTCATTAGCTAAAGTGGTACCTCAGGTTAAGAACAGTTTCAGGTCAAGAACGGACCTCCAGAACGAATTAAGTTCTTAACCCGAGGTACCACTGTACAATGAATGGAAAACATAACCATTGACCATTGTTGGCTATGATATTTAAGTTCTGGTTGTTGTAAAGTTGTGTGCTCAGTGTGTGGAAACAGACTTGTATTAATTCAGATTTCATGGAATTTGTAGGGGCCTACAAATAGACAGACAGACAGACAGACAGACAGATAATGAAAGAAATATGTACTTGAAGGCTTATATATACTAGAACACTTATATAAATAATTGAAATACATAGTTCAGTGCATATAAAAAATAAATTCTGTAGGGGGAGTTTTTCTTTTTGTTTGTTACTATGTTATGCATTTCCATCTTTTTTATGGTAAAGTACCATTGGAAAAAATGAACTTGGTCCTTTTGTACAAATATGCTGCCTGCACAGCTGAAAAACAAAATCTATGCAAACATGACTTCCCCTAGTGCCTATGCTGTGTCCTATGCATTTCGTTTATACTATGAGCTTAGATCATTGAGATCATTGGTCACTTACTCATACGCACTATACTCATACGTGAACTCAACAATTATGGTGCCCACTTGTTGGATACATTTGTACTGGTTTATTCTGGTGCAAATATAAAAGGGGCATTTATTGCACATAAATGCAATAATGTACAGTAGTACCTCTGGTTAAGTACTTAATTCATTCCGGAGGTCCGTTCTTAACCTGAAACTGTTCTTAACCTGAAGCACCACTTTAGCTAATGGGGCCTCCTGCTGCCGCTGTGCTGCCGGAGCACGATTTCTGTTGTCATCCTGAAGCAAAGTTCTTAACCCGAGGTACTATTTCTGGGTTAGCGGAGTCTGTAACCTGAAGCGTATGCAACCTGAGGTACCACTGTAAATAATTCACTAAGCAGAAAGTCAGAACTTTTACATTCAGCATCTATGATTATCTGTTTGTTCTCATGGCACTTGTCACTCATGGCACTTGTCACTTCCTAGCTGTCATTTTCTCTTTCTGTGTCTGAAAAAAGCATTACTTAAATTCTTTCATCTGCAGAGGAGGACATGTGTATTTCACGCCTTGATGTTCCTTGTGCATTAAAATTAGATGCCTCTGTCACTCTATTCATAAAATCTTTCCTTGATTGATGGCTACAGGTGGTACTAAGTGCAATGATATTGTTCTCAGAGATGTCTTGATGTCAGTTAAGGATGGAAATGTTAACCGTTAAAAGAGTTGCTGTTATTTTCAAATACGACTTGATCACTAAGAGCAGTTAAGTTTGAAATTGCTCCAGTATTGTGTCTCATTTTACATATTTTGTGCCTCAGCTGTTATGGGGCCCTCACAACAATAACACGACACCACCTTTTATTGATGTTCGTATTTTCATGCACTCTCCCCATCCTTGAAATATGAGAGCTTTCAGGGATATTTCAAAGTAAGTACTTTGAATTAAGGAGGACTGGAAACGTTATGTAATATTTGCTAGTGATGTCACAAAAGTTTGTAATTGCACGGGTTAGAATATAAATGTGTCAAATAAAACAAGCAAGCAATAGCAAGCAACATGCCTAGGACTGGAGCATAAGTTGGAAACCTGTAATGTTTTATGAATTGTGCAACTAGTATCTGATATCTATGCTGCAATCTGAGTCACACTGATTTAGAAAGGAATGTCACTGATATCACCATGTCAGAGCATGAACACAGGCAAACATTTTCCAAGTGGAAAAATTCTTTGTTGTGGGTGGGGAAACACTTGTTATGGCAGTTATACACCATGTGTCATCCTGCTAAGTGGTTAGGGACATTTAACTACTCTCTTGTTGTTTCCCCCAGATTCCTGTTGAGGTGTGGCAAGATCTTAGTCATCAATTTATTTATTTTTGCAGGACAATACAGTCAACTGGTCTGCCATACGGTTGCAGTTTGCATACCATGGTAACCTATTATTTTGGCAAACAGTCATCTGTTTTAATTGGGCATGTAACCAAATAAACATGGTTGGGATTAGGATGTAAAAGAGCTTTGCCCCTCACTGTACAATTATATCACCAACTCTAATGTGCAATTTACTGCTACGGTCTCTTTCCTTAATAAGGATATATGTGCTCGGGAGATACAGACTTTAAAAATGACCTATGTAAACCTGCCAATCACACACGCACACACACAAAATTGATTGAAATTGTCAGAGAAATCAGTGTGTATATTACTAGGGTTATTGTTCCTGCGTCTATTATATCCTTGGCACAAGGCTAAGAATGTGATGTTCATCTGTTTCCATTCCTTAATTCTCAGCCAAATGGTCTTTCTTAGGTGCTTTTTTATTTTTAAAGTGTTAGCTTCTATTTCTCTTACCTTGATGAGGATGCAGGCTCAGTGATCTGCCTTTGCATGCGTGCATGCCTGATTAGATGTTCCTTCAGAGCATTCTGGACCTCTGCTGGAATATCAGGTGAAGTGTGGCTAATTTTCATTGCCGCCTCAAGGATTTTCGTGGAGGGCTTCCCGTTTTCTTTAATCATTTCTTTTTTCTCATTAGCTTCCAAAAACTCAGTGGGAGCGCTGGAGGTGCTCTGAGGGATGCTTGTCGCGTTCGATGTCATCGGCTTGCTCCTCCAGCACGGCCAGCACAACTTCCAGAAGACAAAAAGTGAGACTAGCAGCAAGGCAAGCCCACAGAAGCTGACGACGACTGCAAGCAAGCTGACAGAGATGTCTGCAAAGAACAAGAAGACAAGGTGATATCATCCAGATAGCTTTAATTCGTTTGCTTACAAAAATCATCAAAGATGTAATGGATATAATTGGTAGACTAATTTTGCAGTCCAAACCTTCTGCTAATTTACTCAGAAGTAAGTCCAACATAAACTTGCATGGATTGTGAGCTTCTGACAGTGAAGGCTCTAGCTTTTAGGATGGAGGTCTGTCAATATGACCCCCATGAGCTCCCACTTGATCCCTCCCCCAGGGTCAGCAGCAACAGAAGGTGGGGGAGCAGTTATTCCTTCTCTTGATGCTCCTTGTTCTCACCAGCTACCACCCCATGGTGGGTGGAGCCCAAAGTGGGTGTGGCCATCCATGCAAGTTGAGGATGTGTGACTTAGCTAAGCCTGGCAGGACAACTTACTTTATGGTCTTAACCCTTTCATGCATTAAATAGAGTTAAGCATGTTGGTTATATGAGGTTGATTTATCTCATAGCTACGTCATCCAAATGGATCTATCCCACAGTTACACCACCCAGCTTGGAGCATCAGCATCTGGCACACACCAGGACACAACAGTTCATGCCTCTATGTAATGCGGGATGAATAATGACACAATTAATGGCACAAACAGTGTTTCTAACAAAAGAGTTGATCATATTTCATACTCAGTAGAGAGCACATTAAGAGCAAGACAAGGGCTAGAGAAAACAAATGGAAGCAGAAGCAGAAAGTTAAAGAGAAAACATGATGCACAAACTTCTCTCGGAGGGGATTCTTGCATCCCAAATGGACTTCTGCTGCTTACACCAATGCACACAGGCAAGCATTATTTACACCAGAAGTGTGGGAACCTATCTCAGCTGGAGGGTCTTCTGGGTAAGATTTTGAGTGCCACATGCCAGTGATAGGCAGGGCCAGAGGCAAAACTGGGCAGAGCCCACAAATGTAAATTTCACCTTTGTAAGGTAGGCTAGTTTCTCCCCTCCCCCCCATCCTTGATTCAGGCAAGCAAAAGGAACTATTGAGTGCAGGTTCTAACTATCAGGTTCTAACCATGGGGGGAAAACATAGGGTGTAAAGCAAGGCAAGTGAAGGTGTGGCCAAGAGAGGATTCCAAGGGCCAGATAAGAGAGTCTCCAAGGGCCAAATTTGGATCCTAGGCCTGAGGTTCTTCATCCCTGATTTACATCAATACATTACACAGGCGTTCCCATTGCTTCTTCCCCTTCTGAGGTTGTAGAGGAATTAAATTTCCAGTTGAAGCATCAGGACCAGGACCTTTATTTGTTTGTTTGTTTAGGTAATAATAATGATGATGATGATGCCAAACCACAAAGGTTCTCTGGGTGGCTTACAACACAAACAGCAAATTCTAACAAGCACAACAAGGAAGTATAATACAAGGTAACCAAAACAAAAATGGCAACAGATCAAAATGCATTACTTTTTTAAAATACAAAAAAAATGCCCAGAGAACAAAAACAGCCCTGAAACAATTTGAATCAGCAAGCAGAGGTGAAAAATCTATTGTGCTAAATGTATGTTTGAATCACAACAGAACTTGGAAGGGAAAATGAAAAGGTGTTTTCCTGGCAGCAAAAGAGCATTAAGAACACAAGAAGAGCCTGCAGGATCCAGCCAGTGGTTCACCTAGTGCAGTATCTTGCTCTCACAGTGACCACCCACAAGCAGGCCCTGGGCACAACAGCACTCTCCTGCCCTGTGGTTTCCAGCAACTGGTATTACTTTTTTCAACTCTGTAGGGACAGCAGATCCACCAAGGATAGCCTTAAAGGTAAAGATAAAGGGGCCCCTGACCATTAGGTCCAGTCGTGACCGACTCTGGGGTTGTGGCGCTCATCTCGCTTTATTGGCAGAGGGAGCCGGCGTACAGCTTCCAGGTCATGTGGCCAGCATGACTAAGCTGCTTCTGGCTAACCAGAGCAGCACACAGAAACGCCGTTTACCTTCCCGCCGGAGTGGTACCTATTTATCTACTTGCACTTTGACATGCTTTCGAACTGCTAGGTTGGCAGAGCTGGGACCAAGCAATGGGAGCTCACCCCGTTGCGGGGATTTAAACTGCCGACCTTCTGATCAGCAAGCCCTAGGCTATGTGGTTTAACCCACAGCCCCACCCGCGTCCCTAGGATAACCTTACTCTTCCTTAATTTATCCACTCCTCTTTCAAAGCCGTCCAAGGTGGTGGACATCACTGCCTCTTTTGTGAGTGAATTTCATAGTTTAACTATGCACTGTATGGAGCAGTATTTCTTTTTGTCTGCCCTGAATCTCCCTACATTTAACTTCAGTGGATGACCCCTGGTTCTAGCGTTATGACAGAGGCCACTTTCTTGATTGTTGTCGCCATCCATCTGTCTCAAGAGACAATGGAGTGCACCTTTGAGGATGAAGTCAAACCACTGTGTTAGCAGCACTGAAATGACCTCCCTGGAGCACAAGCCCAGGCAGTGTGTATGGAGGTCCTGGGCTCCCTAGACAACAAGACCCTCCTCTCGGCCTCACTGATGTGACCTCAATGCCATGCATAATTTAAGGTAGGCACCAGGTGGGCGCCTCTGCAGAGGGCATTCCACCCGGGGTGAGGGCACTGTTGAGAAGGCACTTTCCTTCATTGCCACCCACTTTGCATGAGGACATTCATGGAAAGTCCTCAGACGATGACCTCAGATATCAAGAAGGTCCAATGCCTGAGTTGGAGGATAAGCCCTTACAATATATTACAACTGCCCATATAACAGAGTTAATAGGTTAATATAAAAACAAACAAATAATGTATTTGAAACTTGCTTTGAATGGGCTACTCAGTTCAGACCTGAGTAGTCAGCCAAGGCTTCCTCAGGAATTCAATTCCTTTAGATTCTTTACCCTCTCTTTTGCTTCATTTCTTCTTGTTTCTTTTTTCTGTGTCATGTCTCATCTTGGTTCAGTCTAACCCCACTTAATGCCTTCCAGAAGCTGTTGGACTACAACACTCATCATCTTTAACCATTGCAATTGCTGGCTGGGATGGATGGGAGCTGTAGCCCAAAACAAATGGTTGGTGAAGCCTGTAAGCTTGTGAATTAGGCCATGTTTTGTTTGTACGTTGCTATAGGTGGATGATGATGAAGAAAAGAATAAGAATAAACAAATATGAAATTATCTAGGTAGATCTGGTTGGCCAATGTGAGAAAAGGATGCTGGACTTAGGTGGGCCATTGGCAAGATCCAGCAGGGCTCTATTTATGTTCTTTTGCTCTTAGGTAAAGCTAGAGAGAAGAAGAGAAACCACATCATACTGATACAGAGCTAAGTGGGCTGGAAGATGGTCTGTGTTGATCATCATTGACCATCATATTCCTATATGGAATATAACTGGTTGTTAACCAGAGACTGTACCATGCTTCCTCACATTTATGGAGACCATATCATCCATGCGTGCTCATCATCTGATGGATGCAATATCATGATGACGACGTGCCTTTCTGTATGGGGAACCTCAGAAAGAGCTTTCATCTCTCTTCATGCCACTTCAGACGCAAGATTGTCACTGTTTTCCGGTCCGACATAATTTGTTTGTTATGTTTTGAATCAGAAAAACAATAATTGTCAAACTGGGTCAAGTTGACCTTTCCTGCTCCACCGCTCCCAATGCACCACAAAACGCATTTGAAAAGCACCGCTTGCAATTCATTATTCTGTTGTAAGGAACTGGTGGGCTACTGTGCCATGGTTTTGTAACATGGACTCAAGCTGTGCATGGATGGCATGTTGCTGTTGTTTTTATTGAGAAAAAGATGCAGGCCAATTTCAGAATATCCCAACAGTTGCTCTCAGCTAAATAGGGTAGCCAACAGTTCCCTTTTCAACTTCTGTACAATGGCACAGTGCTTGGAAAAAACATCCCACACAACCATTATCTTTTTCAAGGGCAGCCACTTTTGCTTATGTCAAATGAGGACTTCAGTTCCTTTAAAAACATTCTGGACGCTGTGCACTTCAGAGGCAACACAGGTGGCGCTGTGGGTTAAACCATAGAGCCTAGGACGGCGGTTCGAATCCCCGCAACGGGGTGAGCTCCCATTGCTCAGACCCTGCTCCTGCCAACCTAGCAGTTCGAAAGCACGTCAAAGTGCAAGTAGATAAATAGGTACTGCTCCAGCAGGAAGGTAAACGGCGTTTCCGTGTGCTGCTCTGGTTCACTAGAAGCGGCTTAGTCATGCTGGCCACATGACCCGGAAGCTGTATGCCGGCTCCCTCGGCCAATAAAGCGAGATGAGCGCCGCAACCCCAGAGTCGGCCACGACTGGATCTAATGGTCAGGGGCCCCTTTACCTTTACCTATATTTTGAATCATGCCTCCCCATAACTTATCTGCATTACCATTTTGAACCATCTTCATGAAAAACTGTTGGTTGTGCTACTATCAAGCAGATCGTTCTTGCAAGGCACCATACCAAGATAAAATCAACCCCATGTTCAGGGGTTCTTTTGGGCAAAATCCACTCTCTCCAGGTGAACCCACCTCCCTGCCAGTGCTCAGAAGATCATGTAAAGACTGCTGTGCACTGAGCCAGACCATTGATCCACATAGTTCAGTACTGTCTGTAATCTCTAGCAGTGGCTGCCCAGGATTTCAGTTGGGGGTCTCTCCTGACATTGGGTGAGTGTAGCTTTCTAGTATATTTAGAGTTCCTGTTGGATTTACTGGAATTTATCGGTGCTCAGTTTTCCTGACAGGTAAGTGAGCTCTCCACATTGTAAAGGAACTATGTAATCATCAAGACAAGAAAAGTGCAAATGTACTCTGGCTTCCAGGACAAGAAATGTACTTTGGTGTTAAGGGTAACTCCTGACTAAGCACTGTAATTACTGCCGTTCAGCACCAATTATGGTACTCAGAGGCTGTGAGGACATCTATGGTTGTCTCACTGTTTTGGATTTTTAAGAACCTTTAGATGCTGATGCCTATTCAAGGTTTTAGAAATGGTATTCCTTATCTTGTGTCAACTTGGAGAGGCAGCTTTTAATTAACTGGATTTGACTTTTAATGCCACTCAGTGTAAACACCACTGACAACTGTCATCTGATAAGCTCTGTATTGAAGTGGGGGGAAATGTGTGTATGTAAATACATACAAATTCTTCCTTGAGGATAATCAGAAGTCAATTTGTCGCTGAAATACGCACTCATGCTGTGGGTTTAAAAAAATATTCCCACCGGATAAAATTGATTGGCAATGTGTAGCGACTGGACTTATCCCTAAACAGGTATACTAGTATAACAGATGCTGGTATACAGAAGAGAAGAATGCATGTCTATAATAACCAGGGAAGGGTCATGCTAAAAAGAATTCAATCATTTATTTTATTGCATTGCTTTTATAATCCACCTTTCTTCCATAATGGAACCCAAGGTTCCAAGGAACCACTCCATATCCATGAAGAAGAAGAAGAAGAAGAGTTTGGATTTATATCCCGCCTTTCACTCCCTTTAAGGAGTCTCAAAGCGGCTAACATTCTCCTTTCCCTTCCTCCCCCACAACAAACACCCTGTGAGGTGAGTGGGGCTGAGAGACTTCAAAGAATTGTGACTGGCCCAAGGTCACCCAGCAGCTGCATGTGGAGGAGCGGAGACGCGAACCCGGTTCCCTAGATTACGAGACTACTGCTCTTAACCACTACACCACACTGGCTCTCTGAAGGCACTGACTAGACCCAGACCTCCTAAACATAGCAAGGTGGTAGCCTTGTGTGCCTTCAGACCATTCTTATTATTTGTGCCAATATAAGCTAAGCATCCAGAAACTCCATAATTGCAACCTCCCATTGAAAATCCTTCCAGATCTATCCAGGCTTCCTCCACCCAACTATCCAAGTTGGTGGCCTTCACTCTGGTCCTGGCTTCTGCTTGGATTCCTGATGTTTCTGAACCTGATCGCTCTTTGGTCCTGGATACCAGTTCCCAATTTCCAATTTCCCCCCCAGGCCACTGTGCAAAGCCAAGCCCTGACATTCCTTCAGTTGGGATCCCAGAACATTAATAAACACAAATCATGTCTGTTAGCTTCATTGGATCTACTCTGAGTAGGCCTAGCATTGAATAGAACTTGTGGTGATGACTGCATCATGTACCTTTATGGCTGTCACATGGTGTGGGGCTTCCCATTTCATACAGCCCTCAATGTCATTGGGCTTTGTGGACACTGCCAGACAACTCTAAAAGTATGCGGTAGTACAGAAAGAAAGAGCTATGCAATCCTTAACCTCCATATTTTAACTGTTTTATATCTGTATTATTTACCGTGCTCTAGCTTACAGAGTTTAATTTTAACCTATGTATAGTTTACATGTTCTCTATCGCTGTATATGCCTGTATTTCTGGTCATTCATTCATTCATCCTGCAGTGCTGTGAACTCCGCCCTCTTTTGTCTCTGCCTCCTCCCACATTGGATCTAGCCCCGCCTGCCATCAGTTCTGGCTCCATCCACCGTTGGCTGTGGCCCCCAATTGACTTTCCTGTGGGCCCTTCATTTAAGTGTTTTCTCACTCATGGGCATCTTCAGGGGTGGGGGGCAAAGTAACACACTGAAAGGAGGGCAGCCGCCTTATTTCTCACAAACAGGAGAGGAGAGAAGAACAGTACTTGTACATCTTGTCTCATACCTTGGGTTCTACAAATACTGGAAATTTACTCTCTTTTTTAAAAAAGAAAGCTGAGAATCTGGGTGTTGTGGTTCGTCCAGGGAAGAAGCAATAACAGCTGCCCCAGGATCCCTAACAAAGGATCCCCAGCAACGTTGTATGAGAATAATAAAATATACCCTTATATAGGGTTGTTTAAAGAGTTACAAGCGAGTCTTCATTGCCCTTACCTAGCCCCAATACAAATCCAGATGACTAATCTACAGGCATACAGACAGGCAACAACCTAGCACAAAAGAAGAGCTTGTTTACTTTCCCACCTAGTGGTATCTATCATTCTATCATGCTTAGCAAGTATTCCCCCCACACACTGATCTTCACAAGTGGAAGGCTGAAGTGGAGAGTGCCACTACAGAAGGATCTTCTGCAGCCAAAATATTCTAACCACTGCACCATCTGCCCTAACCATGATGGCCACAAAATATTGCATCACTATTTTACATGGTTGCATAAGAGGTACTGTCTCATCAATACAGAGCTGAAATACAGGCACACAAATCCCCAACAAAATGATGCTTGCTGGTGGTAATTTTTATGGCATAGCCAAAAAATTCTTTATGTGCTTATTAGGATATAGATCCTTCACTGCTGTTCCTCAAGTGGCACTGCCCTGCATTTTCCTTTGTAGATTCATGACATGCAACAATACACTTCTTATACAACAGGTTCTGGGTACATACAATGCCTATACAAAGCCCATCACCTGCAAAGGGACATAGGAAGCAGCCTTATACAAAGTCAGAGTATTTGTGCATCTATAGTCTACTGCTCTGACTTCGCAACAGCTCTCCGGGGTGTCAGGCAGAGGTCTCTCACATGATCTGCTGCCTGATCCTTTTAAAAAAAGCAAAGCAATAAACTGGATATGCTGGGTACCGAACCTGGGACTTTTCACACACAAGGCATGTGCCTCTACCACTGAGCTATGATCCCTTTGCTTGTGAACTAGGGCGGTATCTTGGCTGATCAGCGCTGGGAAAACAAAATTTTGCACTAGATGGTTAATCCACACATAAGCTTTATGTTTGCATGATTATTATTTTTTGAAACCGACTGAAATTTTCTTTAGGAAATCCACAGGAACAGAAGTCATTCCCTGTCCCTCCTCCCTGTCTCTGTTTCTCATGAAAATCTCTCTCTTCCTGCAGCAACTGGTACTTTCAAGCTCTTCTCCTTCCTGCCACCTGTTGTCCTGCTCTCCAGCTTGACAGAAACTGTGTGCCAATTTGAGCAATGATAAGAATGTCAAGAGGGCCACAGGGCAGGGAGATCAATCACATAATCATTCATATATGTGCGTGCGCATGCTTGAGATATATCTATACATCCTCCAGCAGAGTTTTTTAACCAAAAGTTAAGCTCATCCGCCCCATCCCCAACAACTAGAGAATAACTATCTCTCTCCTGCCCTTCAATTATTATCAGATTTTTCTTTTAATAGAAAGGAAAATGTTGAAACAGACGAAGGTGGCATTATCTTTTAAAATCTCTGGTGAATCTCATTAGAGTTCATTAGCAAGGGATGGAAGGAAGGAAACAGGAGAGAACATTTTGGGTAGATAAGAAATGCCTTCAGCTCCTTCTTGCATTTCTGCTACCTCAGCCAAGATATATGACATTTGTTTTGAAGATGGAACAATTCTGAACCAAAGCAGAGCAGGGCAGGAGGTCTAAGTCCTGGATCAGAGTCTCAAGGTCCAGCCATTCAACAAGTGAAGCAAGTAGGAGGACTGCCCTGCTTCCAGGACATTCAGAATGCATTCCTTCCCTCACATTCCCTCTTATGGGGTCACCATCTCCTCTTCTTCCCTTTCTGGAGGCTCTGCACCCTTAAGGAGCTGTGTGCCAAACTGAAAGTCAACACGCACAACTTTCTGCATTTCTATGCCCTGGGGGAAAGCTGCATCAGTTGCATTTCTGCCTGTCGTGCAGCTGTTGCAAGCACAAACAAGATCCCCGTGGAGGAAAAGATGCTAACTTTCCACTCTCATAGCGGAACAAGTCTTTCAGGCAGGTTTTTGCTCAGGGACCCTCTCTTTAAGGAAATTAATCACTGATTTACCGGATATCAGCTCCTGTGTTTTAATGTGCTTCACTAAGAGAACCAGATCTTTCTCCACTTTACCTTTCCAAAGGGCGAGGGGGGGGGGTCCCATTAAAAATAAGAGACATAAAAGGTCCTCCCCCGTACACTAGCACGAGATTTCCCTTTTCCTTCCCGGAGGGAGAATGAAGCATACATATGAAGTACCTGTGGCTTCTGAATGGTTTTCCCTATTCCTTCCCTTACTTTTACCGAGTCAGCTGCAACTCAGCTCTTGAGAAGCACTTCCACGCCGTTTGCGCTCCCGGGGAATCGGGGTGCTAGATCGGCTGGGGCCTGAACCGCAGCCAGGCTGCACAACTCCCATCCCGGGGGGGAGGCCTGCATGGTCACTTTCCGACGTGCATCTAGCTAGCTAGCCAGCCACAACAAAACACACGTTTCTGTTTGGTCTCGCAGCAGCCCCTTGAGGACACGGAAATGTCCTGCCGAAATTTGGAAAGGACTCCCTTTCCTTTCTCTCTCGCTCTCCCCAGCCAGGGGAAGGAGGAAGGAAGCGGAAGGAAGAAAGTAGAAGGGTAAAAAAAAAAAAAAATAGAAAGTTCAACTTTCCAGACGCCCACTCAAACCCACTGCCGCGGCTGCCATTAGTGGAAGGAAGCGTATGTCCGCCCCCCCAACCATCAGCACCACCATCAGCACCCCACGCCTCTCGGTTGCAGTCCTCTCGCTCCTTCCTTGAGATGCGATGCAGAGGATCAACAGGAGAGACCGAGTCAGGGGAGGAAAACACAAGGGATGGGGAAGACCGAGGCGGGGAGAAGCGGCGGCCGAGGACGCGGCAAGCAGAGCGCGCCGAGGGATGCGCAAGGAGAACTAGAGGCTTGACTCTACCTGCGCTGCTTATACCTTGGTTGGTGGTCTCCAGCGGGAAGATGCCCGAACATTTCTCCAACTCCACTTGCCCTCCCAGGCACAACTCGGAGATGATCTGCAGAGCCTTGTGGCACAAGCTGCCCATCCCGTCTTCCTTGTGGAAACTCATGTTGACTCCCTTTTCTTTCTCTCTCTTTCGCGCGCTGGTGTTTATTATTTTTCTTTTCCGATGCGCCTCTCTTGCCTTTTCCTTCTTGAGCTAAGCCATGGCTTTCCTGGGCAAAGGATGCTTCATTCTCCACCTGCTTCCTCTTGGATGGTCATCAGCGGTGTTATTGTTGCGAGGCATCCAAAAAGAGGAGAGAGAGAGAGAGAGAAGGAAGAGGGAAAGAAGGTACCAGCTCTCAAGGCATCAGCGCAAAGAGAAGGGAGGAGGGATCGCGGGAGAGACGCGTGTACGCTGGAGAGGAGAGAACAGTCTAAAGGACACGTTGCAAGTGAGCGAAGAGTCACCATCAGGAGAACAAGGATGGATAATTGGGGTGGTGGAGGGGAGGGGGGGAAGGTTTGTTATATATATAAAGCAACAGAAGAAGAAGCACACTGAGCAACGCCTTTTTGTGCCTTGTGAGGATCGGTAGGAATTTGGACCAATGGCAGCGCAGCGCGGGTGAATGGGAGAGGAGGTGCAGGCGAGGGTCGCCGAGCTCTGGGACTGGACGGTGGGGTCCGGGCGGGCAGGCGCCGCGAGGAGGCTTCTGCGCTCTCTCGCTTGTGTTTCGGGGATGGGGGGAGAGAGAGGGAGGAGCCGCAGAGGGCCGGGCGCTTGTGTGCAGGCAAGTCCCTTGATGTTCCATGCAAAGAGGAGCAGGGGAGTCTGTCCACCCTCTAGGTAGCACAGGCTCTCGGGAGCCTCGCTTTGCAACTTCGCAACTGAGGCCCAGCTCCATCTGGGGATTGCGCGCATGTGAAGAGAGTAAGAGTGAGATGGTGCCTGTGCATTTAAGAACTCTGCACTAGGTGGAAATCCAACAGGTGCTGTTATCCCTTACCTTTCCCCCTTCTTTTTCCTGCTGTATCCCCTTCCTTCCTTCCTTCCTTCCTTCCTTCCTTCCTTCCTTCCCACAACCGGAATACAACAATTTAAGGGATGTAAACCCCAATGTAATCTGACCTCACATCTTCAGAAAGGGTGGCAGGTGCATTATTGCTTTCATGTTGTCCTTGTTGTTTTGTAATATAAGAAAATAATAATAGTAAAGCAAAACAATGTAGAGAGTTTCAAACATATAAGTTATGTAGCTGAATCACAGTTAGAACAATCGCTTGTGTGCATAGCTGTCAACGTTTCCCTTTTTTAAAGGGAAATTCCCTTATTCCGAATAGGATTCCTCGCAAGAAAAGGGAAAAGTTGACAGCTATGCTTGTGTGTGCCTGAATTTTATAGGCATGTTGTCAGAAGAGCTTGAAAAGTTTCGATGTAGGACAGTTGTCCCCAGTTTGGTGCCCTTCTGGAGGTTTTTGCCTACACCTTCCATCAGTTCCAGCCAACGTTCAGGGATGATGGGAGTTGTAGTCCAACATCATGTGGAAGTCACCAGACCAATCAAACCATGTTGGGAGCACTGACATAGGATGCAGCTTGAAATTTTTCCAATCCTCTAACATATCACTGGAACTCAAAGGATACCCATTGAGGCTGTTCCATTATTTGGATTTGCCTGAACATGTGGATTCTCACAGTGTGGATGAGGGCAGGGACACTCACACAAACCCCACCCCAAGATCCTGATATGCATTGACACCTCCCCCCCTGAAGTCTTTGACCTTCCCTGTGTTGCAGGAAGCTTCTACTTACATGCATTTGAATATTCATCGCTACAACCATTACTTGCTCAACACAGAAGGCAGGGACTGAGTGCATCAGGTACAGAGTTTGCATGCTCAGGCAGACTCCTTAGCATGCATCTAGTAGAAAGGACTTCTTCAGACCGTGTAACATTGTTGTTGTTGTTTAGTCATTTAGTCGTGTCCGACTCTTCGTGACCCCATGGACCAGAGCACGCCAGGCACCTCTGTCCTCCACTACCTCCCGCAGTTTGGTCAAACTCATGCTGGTAACCTCGAAAACACTATCCAACCATCTCATCCTCTGTCGCCCCCTTCTCCTTGTGCCCTCCATCTTTCCCAGCATCAGTGTCTTCTCCAGGGAGTCTTCTCTTCTCATGAGGTGGCCAAAGTACTGGAGCCTCAGCTTCACGATCTGTCCTTCCAGTGAGCACTCAGGGCTGATTTCCTTAAGAATGGATACGTTTGATCTTCTTGCAGTCCATGGGACTCTCAAGAGTCTCCTCCAGCACCATAATTCAAAAGCATCAATTCTTCGGCGATCAGCCTTCTTTATGGTCCAGCTCTCACTTCCATACATCACTACTGGGAAAACCATGGCTTTAACTATACGGACCTTTGTTGGCAAGGTGACGTGTAACATTAACTCAGGCTATTGAGCATAACATAACAAAACAAAAAAAACAATTGGACAACATCACAGAGGATGGGTCCCTCAGCCATGAGGGCTGCATAGAATCTCAATGGCAGTGTGGATCTGAGTCTTGGATACTGGGGATAAATCATAATGCAAGGTCATGATCTACATGTCTGGCATGTGACTAATCACAGGCATCTATTTGGAGGCCATTGGGAAGTAAATGAAGGACTAGGGGGATCTTGGGTAGTCCAGCATGACAATTCTTGTGTTTTTGCTAGTCAAGCAGCACTTTCATAGAGCAACCCCCAAGCTTTTGAATACTAGGGTTCCACCCTGGGCTATATGAAGTCTTAAGTGTCTTTTGACCACAGGCAAGCTCTTCACATGAAAAGACAGTGGAAAGGACAGAGGACATGAAGTTCTTTCCTCTTGGTATCTGACATTCAGAGGCATATTGAACATGGACTTTTCGTGTCACCACCATGCCTAAAAGCCACAGCTAGTGGGGGCTGCAACAAAATGTCATGGAGTTCTCTAAGTCAGAGTTCCATCCAAGCCTTTTCCTGGAAACTCCATCCCACCTTCTGGTTTTCCTTCATTAGGATTATTTTTTTAGGGATTTTTTTTGTAATTTCTACAGAAGGTGGGGTTCCTTCAAGCCTTTTTTTGGCTACATAAGGATCCACTCTCAGAGAATAAGTGTGCTGTTCATATATAGGATAGACATAGTCTCTGTGAATCCCTTTTAGCCTCTGCAAATTCCCTTTTAAGGACATCTAAGAACTAAACCACACCTCTGTTTGCCCTGCCACTTTCTGCTGGGGAAACCTACTCTTTAGTGCACTAAAGAACACTCTTTAGTGTTCTGATTTAGTGCTAAAGAGTGGGTTTTCTGGGGGAAAGTGGCAGGGTAAAGGCAAAACACCTTGGACCCATGCTTTCTAGGCATGGGGCAAGTGGAAGTGTGGACAAACCATTGGCTAGTGTCCATCACTATCTCTTGGTGCAGAAACTTCAGCGTTGCATATAGATGTATTTTCTTCTTTTTGTCTTGAATCTCTTACTCATCAGTTTCATTGAATGACCCAAAGTTTTGAAATTATGAGAGAGGATTTTGTTAAAAATCCAAATCCCTTTTGTTCCCTCTCTCCATATAAGGCACAACTTAATAAAACTCTTCTTAAATCTGATGTGGAATTTTATACTTTAATGGGAAATCATTTTTCTTCTCATTTTCTTTGGGCAGCTATTTTACTGTTCGTAAATTATTCCAATCTTGAAGGTTGAGGGCAGGCAGCAATCTAAAGTGAAAAGTATATCTTTTGAGACATAACTAGTCAGGTGCCATCCCTTCACCTATTCTGAATGTCAGAGCTCATCCACTTAAACTATTTGCAACATGTTCTGAATCTATTTTTCTCCACCACTGATGTATCATAGGATCTTTAAAAAACAACAAGGTAGGTTAAAATTTGGTGCAAATCCCCCACAAGTATTCTCTCTCTCTCTCTTCAAGAACAACTTTTGCTTCATATGTGGAATTAAAGGTTTAGCTAATTGTGTTGTAATGGTCCTTCAGTCTAATGCAGAGTTGGCTACTATTTCATCCCACACTGAATGAAATGTCAAGACTCCTAATCGTTTTGAATGAACCTGAACTGTGTCCACTGCTGTTAATTCCACAGACCATCCCTGTGTTTAAAATGACACAGAGCAGTGTAGAACAATTCACCGAGTGAATCATGAAACAGCCCTAGGGGATTCTTCCACATAATGGCACACCACTGAGATCAACTGTCAATTTCTTTTACTGACTAGTAATTTTGCATCCATGCTGAAGAGAGGATGGTTTAAGTGTTGGGGTGGAAGTGTCCTAAAATTGCTGAGAAACCTGAAAGTCTTCTTGAAGCTTTGGATCGCATGCTACTAAAAATAGAGCAGAGAGGTTGCACATAAGGAGCCTTATGGTGAATCAGTTCATCGGATTGCCTACTTTCCAGGCACAAGACACCTTAGGGACCAAGTTACCTGAGAGAGATCCTTCTCCCAGACACACCTGCCAGATCACTGAGATCTGCTGATTGCCCTACAGCCAGCAGATGTCTGTCTGGAAACAGCAAGAAAGAGGGCCTGTGGTGGTAACCATGCTCTGGAAAGCAAGCAAGCAAGCAAGCAAGCAAGCAAGCAAGCAAGCAAGCATTGGGTTGGTGCATGCTGCAAACATTCCTTCTCACCATGCCCTTTGCTGGCTGTGGATGATACACTTTTGAAGACTTTTAAGAATTCTCACTGATTCCTTGACTGGACTTGATTCTGAATTGTAGTTGTATATTTTTGTACTGTATGTTATGATACTGCTGTACATTGGCTTGAAATGTTAGCATAACAGGTGGTATATAAATATCTTAATAAATAAATATGCAATGGTCTCCCTCTCTTTTCCCGTGTGTGTCCTGCTGTCTGAGATCACTTAACTGGAGATGTCAGGGAGTAAACCTGGACTTAATTATTATTATTTTTTGCGTGTGAATTAGATGTTTTAGGTGATGGCTTGGATTAGATTCGGAAGGGAAGCTGTTTTATACTGAGTCAGATCATTGGTCCATCTAGCTCAGTAGTTGCTTTGATTAGCAGCATCTCTCCTGGGTTTTAGGGAGGTGTCTTTTTTAACCTTGCCTGAAGACATACAGCATGCCAAGTAAGTGCTCTATCTCAGAGATATGGCCTTTTCCCAAGGGATCCCTCAGCTCCTCTGCAATCCCATTGTTTCGTGAAATGCTACATTTTCCATTTCCTAGAAAATGATATCCATATTCTATTCTCCACCATCGCCAACTTCTTCAGAATGCTCTGCTTCTGCAAGCTATTGGAACCATTTGCTAAGTGGTAGACCCCTCGTAGAATAAGTTATGTCAGGCATAGGCAATGTGGTGCCCTCCATATGCTTTAGACTATAGCTCCCATCAGTCTCAATCAGTGATAGTTGATGGGTATCACATTGGAGGGTATCACATTGGCTTTTCCCGAGTCGAGTCAAAGAAGTGTGTGGTTTAACTTTCAGCTAAATGTAAAAGTGCACCAATTCCATCGTTATACTGTACACTGCTTCATTGGATTTTGTTAATTATATTGCATCCAGATTCCGCCTTTCCTCCAAGCAGCACCAGGTGGTGTAGACTGACCCTTCCCTCCCCATTTTATCCTCACAACAACCCTGTGACATAGGTTAGGATGAAATGTGGTTTGTTCAAGCTCAGACAGTGAACTTCATAACCGAGGG